GGCCCAATCCAGTGTGGTTGTGCAATCTCGTCTGGGCTAGCTCGAAGCTGCACAAGTTGGTGCGGTCTGGTCTGGATAGCCTAGTGGAATCAGGACGATCTCGTCCAATGTAAGTTGGCCGTTCCCTTAGCAGTGCGCTACCGTGAGGCTCCGCGATTATCATCATCAATCCGCTCCACAGGGGAGGTAATCGACATCAGGAAATAGGTGTAAGAGGGATGAGGAGCGAGGAGTGAGGTGATCGGCACGAATACGTCCTGCCCACGTTGGGCCACAGTGATGTGCTTTGAGATGAGGCATCATGGTCATGGTGGAGAGTGAGTGTGAGGAAGGGGGTGTTGGGAGGGGAGGGGAGGAGAGGGGGTTGAATGATTTGATTAGGGAGACTGAATGGGCACAGGTAGGGATGGAGAGTGTTGGCGGTTGTTCAGCTGAGGTGGGTGCGAGAGCGTTGGCGATAAAGTGACCCGCATTGCTATTGTCGTTGTAGTAAAGATGAAAGAAGAGGCGGAGGCGAAGGCGAAGACGGAGGCGGAGGTCAAAGGGATTGTTGAGAGAAGATGTTGGTGATGAGAGTAGTGAGGTCAATGAAGTCGAAAATTGACTCACTCAATGACCTGGAGAATTGTGAAGGGTCATAAAGCACAACTGTGTGCTCATCACCTCGACTCACCTCACCTCTCCTCGCCTCTCCTCGCATCGCCTCACTTCAGCTCACTCCACCTCGTGCAATTGCAACCGTAGTCATCGAAGCGATCCAGACAAGGGCGAAGAGGCACCCTTTGCGGAGGCAGTTGAGAGACTGGCATCGGTGAGTTGTGGTACCGGTAATTGTGGAGGCGGAGGAAAGGAAGGACGTGAGGTGTGTGGGTATGTTGGTGGAGGAGGAGGAGGAGGAGGAGGAGGAGGAGGAAGAGGGGAGAAGGGGAGAGCGAGAGACAGGGAGAGGATGAAACATGCTCCGAGGTGGTGACAGCGGCAGACTACCTGTAGTGCGGTGCGCTGACTTTACTAGTGTCGTCCATTCTCACCCCACCCAGTCGGATGTGGATGTCACCCTAAGATGCTGTCTATCTCCTGCAGTAGCTGTGGCACGGATCGTTCGGATTGGTCTTGAATATATCCCTGTAAATCTGCACTAATAACTTTTTAATTTGGATGTACGTAAGTAGATCGAATGGATGTTTCCTGACAACTTTAGCATACTTAAGCGGATTTCAAATAATTCTTTAGCAAATATGTTTATAATTTGCGTAATGACTTACCTCCGTGTTCGCAAAGACTCGAAAAGGATCGTCTGGCACTTCTGGTCTCACCTAAAGTAAATTAAAAATTGGAACTCTTTGGACCTCTGCAAAACAGTTAAATAAGTGTGCACTCAGCCTCTGCCGGTAGCTTCCCAGACGGTGATCGTCGAGTTATGGTCTGCCTTTCGTATGTGTTAAGTACTCATCAATTACTCAATCTTTCTTGTTTTTTTTTTTTGATTTACCTTAATTTTTCATCCTAGGAATTTGTCCTTTGTGGAGGGAGAATGTCAGCGTTGCTGCTTAATAGCAAAGCATTTTGGGCTTCGATGGAACTCCGACACTGATCTATCAACTCACAACAGTGCTTTGGGCTAAGTATTACAAAAAAAATTCAGTACCATTCGACTTTATCCAACCATCAGAACTTGCCGACAAGGTAACAACCTATGTAGAACCTAGTGAATACCCCATGGCAGCACGATTGTGAAATCATTTCTGCGATTTGCGCCGAATGCAAAGTTTAATGAGCCCAGTAACATTAGTTAAATTCACCTCACCATCAATTTGACAATTACCTTGGCACGTATGGATTCCAGCCGAGTCTCTACAGCCTCGGCCCGCCTCGCAGCCTCTTCAGAGGCCTCTAGTCGACGAGTGGACTGTTGATTCAGACGCTTTCTTGCGATTTCTAACAGACGTCGAGTGTCTTGATGCCGCTGTTTGTCGAAAACTCGTCTTAACATCTCCAACCGCAGGTGCTCAGCGGCTTCGAATTCCGCCTTTTCTTGACGTTTCGACTCCTGTCGCATTTGAATCTGAGGTTTTGAGCAGTCAGCAGTGTGTTATTTTCCACAGAATCAGTCACTACACTTTAACAGTTAGTAATCAAGTGGAGGATGTTTTGTGGATTATGGAAGACTTCATTTGAGAGTAGGAACACAGAACAAGTTTTATATCGGTTGATATCCAGGAGAAAGACGTTAACGCTATAAATCCTCGAAATGATCCGTAAAATTACCACAATGCATTACAATTTCTTTACAGTACTTTATTTTTTATGATTTGACGACGTCTGCCTTCCCTCTCCTGCCTCCTTTTCTCCTTTGCCATTGCAGCAACTCTATTTGCTTCTCGAGCTCGAAACTCCAGTTCTTCTAACTCTGCTTTCTCCTTCCTCCACCTCTGAACCTAAACGTTGAAAAACATTATATAAAACTTTTTACTAAAAATTATTCAGTAGGTCACTTTAATCGAACATGAGCTGACCTTCTCCGTCAGTTGCTGGCACAAAACTCGCTGCTTCTCCACACTCGCCTTTTCTCTATTCTTCTTGTAATACTCTTCCATAGCGTCCTCTAACGTCACATGAATGCGGTCTGCAAGCTCTTGTCTAGCCCTCGTCCATGCCAGCACAGTATCTTCCAATTTCACTTTTAGTACATCGTGGTCACAAAAGAAGTCCAACAACTTCCCCTGTTTACAGAGCTACTGTCAATTACATGGGCCAATAATACAGTTAGGCCATAACCCAAAAACTTGCACAATCCTTCATCCGGAGACAGGGGAGGCGTTTTAAAAAGTCGTTGCAATTTCTGCGTTTCTGTGGCGTTTCTGAAGAATTGTAAACATCCCAAAGGAATTCCACTAAACGGAAGTCCTCCATTCTCCACTCATTAAGACAGCTAAAATAATACACCTCAGGAAATCAGACGTTTACTAATCGTTCTCCAAGTTAATAAATTCCTTTTTTGCACCTTTAACTCTGTCAGTAAAAGCTGCGTCAAGTTGAACGAATTCAGAGAGCAAGTCCGCCCTGAACTTCTCGTCATGCGTGTCCCACTGCCATGCCTCTGTGGGAATCCCACCTCTTTCGTCCTCTATTGAGTCTTCCCGCACTCTCCTAATATTATCCAATCTTGACACTATAGTGGCCATAAAAAGCAGCGATTTCTCGAGTTACATGGTTGAAATGCGTTAATCTCAACCTCGCACTGTAGAAGATCAAAGATTTGTGTTTCGATGTTTGTATAGGCATCTCTCAAAGCTGCTCTCAACTTTTTGTTTGATTGTAATGATTTTTTAAGTTCCAACCTGAGAAAAAGAACAATGCCATCCTTTTAAGAAGTAATTTAATGCGTAAAACAGCCTAATAAACCGTAATTATAAAGGTCACCGCTAACAAACCTTAAATGATTTAGTGGTTGAATCACTTCAGTTACAAATTTCTCTAACCCAAGAGAGTGAGCTTCCACAACCTGGGCAAGTGATGATTTCTCGTCGTCCCAAGGAAATGAATTCAGATATATGTTATCATGGACTAGAATTTGTAAGTCACCAAGGAGTTTTCGAGATGTCTCCTGATATTTTCGACTAGCATCAAGCCATATCACAAAGTGAATACGCTGCATTTGAGCGTCATGCAACGAAATCCGCGATCTGGTAAGAAGAGACAGCTTTTCATATGTTTTGGTAGCGTCCTTGTTTACTTGCTCTATTTTGGCCTTTAAAAGCTCCACGTTACCAGGTCTCAAATGTCGAAACTTCACTCGAGCATCCATGGAGCCTACTAATAGTTTGAAGAAATTCAGAGATAATGTAATAACTGGGTCTGGTCCCTTGTAAAAACAACTTAACCACAAATAAATAATAGTCCAAACCATAGTAAACCACAACATAGTCAGAATTTAAAATTTTAAAAGTGTTAGTTATCTTACGAACATCATATATTTATTAGGAGCGTATCAATAATTCGCGGTGTCAGAGATTTGGTTAGGAACATCTTACAAACAAGTAGCACCTTAGGAGTCTGGAACTTTGATGAAAGGCTGGCGCAACCCTCAATTCGCTATCTCTCTTTCCTCTGAGACTAAAATCAATGCGAATTTGTGTAACTAATGGACACCCAT